CCCCACCTCCATACCCTGCTCCATCTCTTCTTTCATGGAGAAATGCTCATAGTTTTCCAAATCTGCTTCAAGAAATTCAAGGTATGTTTTATATTTATCCATGTTTTGAATCATTTGCAGTCTGGGTTTTGTTTTTATGCATTTCTTTGGGGTTTTGTTATTTTTACTACTGCTATATGGAGCTGTGCCCTTGTTTGGTATTTGGGAAAATATTTAGAAAAAGAATCGAAATTGAGTTGGGAAGAAAAGTGGTTCTTTGAAGCAAGAAAAGTTCTTAAAGATTGCCATAGATAAAGAGGACTGAACTTTTCCTGTGTCAGTTTTGTTGCATTGAATCTAAATGGGTATATGTATATAAAAAGAGACAGACCAGGAAGTCAATTTTCTTTTCCTCTTTTTTTATTTTCATTTTTTGGTATTTTTCATGTCTAGAGAGATGGAGTTGAAGGGATGTCACTTGTTAATAACTGATTGCCTCATGTAAGCTTCAGCTTTTGAATGATCATGATCTTTAGTCATGCTGCCATTGAAAACATCACTTTGAACTCGCATCTGTAAGTGGAGAGTGAATAGTCATCAGTCCCTGACGCGCCGCTCCTGCAATAATGAGGGATGAGGCTGGCTTCTTTGTGGTCAGAAAAGGAGATATTGTTGGTGTTTATAAAAATTTGAGTGATTGCCAGACTCAAGTTGGATCGTCGGTAATGAATTTCATTTCTCACCTGCGTAAGTTATATGAGCCGGATTTTGTGTCTAAACGGCTCTGAGTTGCATTGTGGGCATTCAATGTTTTCTTCTTCGTTTCTTCGACAGATATGTGATCCGCCTGTTAGTGTATATAAAGGTTTCTCTATGCCTAAGGACACAGAAGAGTATCTTCTTTCTTGTGGGCTTAAGAATGCTCTTTACTCCTTCAGAGCCCAAGATCTCACTGATGATCTTTTTGGCAGTTTGGTGCCGTGTCCTTTTCAGGTGAGACATAATTCTTTATGCAATTTTAGTAGTCAGTCCATTTATTTTCTTCTCAAATCAAGGCGGTCGTCATATATGGTATGGAACGTTTTGCTCAAGCCTTACCTATTAGAGTCAATGCAATCATGTTGTCACTTAGAAATTCGTGTGTTTGAATTTGGTGGAGGGTAAAGTGGGATACATTAACTTTTCATGTTTTCGACTTTGTGGGCTAAAAAGTTCAATAGAATGGTTTAGCTTTAGGTAATTAGGTCCGTAATGGCACATTGAACTTTCTTTGCATCTTACTTTATATGAAGTTTTGGACAGTAAATGCAGCAATGCATCAAGGGTCTAACGGAAACAACCTTCCTGTCTTTTATGGGGACACGGTTGCTTACAATTTTACCGAGATCCCAATAGAGTTGGGATTATATTGGGTTTGTAGTAGTATTGGTAGTTGTTGTTTTTATAAATACGCGTTGGGCCATATTTTAAAACATTTTATTTCTTCAGCAACCTTCTTCCTCCAAAGGTGGAACTTCAAATGAGCACATACCAAAGAAAAGGCCACCAGAAGCAATGTGGCCTGACTATGCTGTAAGTTAAACTTGATATTTTCTAAATATGCCTTGTATGTGTATTTATGTTAGGGTCTGAAAGCAGGGAATGGATGCATGCTTGGCATCTAAACTGTGTATTAAATTGAGACTTGTGAGAGTTATATGCTCTATTAGTGGATATGAGTTTTCTAGCTAACACCATATATTATTATCCTATTTAAGCAATATCCTTTTTATGTGAAAACATTGTGTATCTTCTCTCACTCATCATTTAAGAAGCCAATATTTGACTCCTTGATTCTGAAATAGATTGACCGTTACATTAAAGATGTTTCAACCCTTGCTTGGATATACTTGAATCAACATCATTAGAAAAACTTTAAGTTTAGCAACGGTCCGAAGTTTCTCTTGTTCAATTGGAAACCTTCAATACTGTTTTGGTAGTTGCTACATGGAAGTTACTTGGTTGTTTAGAGGGGAATTGTAAACATTGGCTTACAATATAATCTCAACTCTGTTGGGGTGTTTTAATTTTTTTTAAAATAAAATTAAAAATACGGAGAGGCTGTTTATGTTAGACCCTTGATGCATTGTTGCATTTACTACCCAAAAATTCATAGGAAGTTGGAAGAAAAGAAAATTTAATGTGATGTTTTGATTTACTTGATTACTACCCGAAGCCAAAATATCATCAATAATGACTCTATCAACTCCCTTGACAGTGGATGTAATCAAAATGGATCATGGGCTTCATCATTTGATTTAGTCCATTATAAACCTTAAATTATCATGAATAAATAAAGCTCCATTCTTCATAACACATATGGAGTATATTTTTGTGCTTCTGTATGTAGTACGCATGATACAGGAACTTTAGTCGTTAGTCAGTTCTTCAAGATGGGAATCCCAAGATTGTTAAAGGAATCTATAGTCTATACATTTTTTTTTGCAATAATTATGGACAGTGGATTCCAACAGAGACTAGAGTGACTTTTGTTCTGTATAAAAAATAGAGCTGCAGTCTTTAAGAACACTGATTCAACTTTTGCCAATGTGTTAATTTGCAGGATGCTGTCGGATCGGCAATTTTACCACATGATTCTCTAAGAAAGCATGCCAAATTAGAACAGAAGGGTGATCTATCTATATCGCCGAGTGTGAGTGGCTATTTGATGGCTGCATGCAAGATTTATGATATTCTGTATTTTCAACACGTCTTGTCATATATCATATGTATTTGTACTTTTTTCCGGATGTCTCAGAAACCAAAAACTTTTCTGAGTTTTTATACCTTTTGTTCTGTGGAGTGAAACGGCCTCTCTACTACCAAGTAGGGGTAAGGTCTGCGCACAAAGTACAAATCTTCCCCAAACCCCACCCTACTTTCTGTGGGATTTTAGTGGGTTTATTGTTAGCTCATTCATATTTTGCTGGTTGTGGTTTTATGACATGTGGCAAATGAACAGCGCTCTTGCTCCCTTGAATTTGATGGCACGTCCAAAGGAAATCCTGGACCAGCTGGGGCAGGAGCAGTCCTGCGAGCCGATGATGGGACTTTGGTATTTAGTTCATTTTCATTGCCTATCTCCCCACTACTCCCCTGTCCTTTAAAAGATTCAATTTTGAAAACATATTTTTATCCAAAAAGAATTCAATTTGAACAAAAGAAACTAATTTGCATCACATTTAATCTTATCTACAAAAGAAACCATGCAAAACAGATTAAATATATTGAATTTGGATAAACCAACATATAAATATAATAAAATAGCTATGTTTGATGGTTTTCGATATGCATACCTTGCTAAAACAAAAAGGTTGTACCTTTGTGAAATAGGATATTTCTTTTCATGGGACGGAGGGAGCGAGCACTTGTTTGAAACTACCATCTTCTGTACAGGTTTGCCGGCTTCGTGAAGGTCTGGGTGTAGCAACAAGTAGTGTTGCTGAGTATAGAGGCATTATTTTAGGGCTAACATATGCACTTGGCAAAGGGTTTCAAAGTGTTCGCGTTCAGGGTGACTCGAAGCTTGTTTGCATGCAGGTTTGTGTGTCACTTAGGCTATGTTTGGCATTAGCTTCAGCGTTTTGAAAATGCTGACAATAATCACACATGCTATTCCCAAACGAAGCCTTATTCCATTCATCCGTTTGCAATTGTTCTTTTCTGAATACAGTGTTTGGTTGACTTTCCATGATACAGATCCAGGGTCTATGGAAGGTTAAAAATCAAAATATTTCAACCCTATACGAGCAGACAAAACAACTAAAGGAAAGGTTCATTTCCTTCAGGATAATTCACGTTTTGCGGGTAATTCATCATTCTTCACAATGTATCTGTTATGGTCAATGTATCTTTCTATTGCATGCTTCTCTATGGCTCCATTTGGCATTAGCTTCGGCATTTTGAAAAAGCTGTCCAATAGGTAGCTTTTACCTTGAGGATTTTCAACCTTAATTTGCACTATTAAAAATATATCCAAAACTCTAATGCTAATCACCCGTGTTGTTCCCAAACAAAACCTATGTTTTTTTTTTAAAAATTACCATTTAGGACTATAAAATTCATTTGAGTATATTTTTGGGAGAACATGTAAGGTTTGTGCCCCCCCCCCCCCAAAAAAAAAAAACCCGAAGACCTTGCTCCTTGAGTAAGATATTTGGTTATTTTGTTTGGTTAACAAATTTGACTGTATTTTTTTCAACAGGAATCAAACTCGGATGCTGATGCACTAGCAAGCATGGCCGTTGATCTTCCTGGTAAAATTACAATCTCTACTAATCATCAAGCACTTCGTATATATTGTTATTCTATTTGTCTTTTGGGGTCGACCTCTCTACTTTTGGGCAAAAATAAGGTTTGTGTACACACACCCTCCCTCTAGACCCTACCTTTTTTGTGAAATTTTACTGGGTTTGTTGTTGCTGCAGAAGGCGAAATTCGAGAGGAAAATGACAAATAGTTCCGGAACCAATGTTAGGCCCCCTCTTCTGAACAATGCAATGACTTACAGAGGAAAGTTTTAATATTTTTTTAAAAATATTTAGCAGCCGGGTTTCGAAGATAAGAATGTTTCTCAATGTCCAGTTTTGTTTAGTGTTGCTGCAATCTGATGATATGTAATGTTGTTGAAGTAGAGCTTATAACGGGTCGGGATCGATAACATAGAAACAATTGGTAGACTTACTTCACTCTGTTAGTGTTTGCCATTTGTGTAGTAGTGCAGAAGTACTTCAACTCAATGCCTTATCTGTGGATTCTGTTGTGTTGAAGTACTTGGGCAGCATTTGGTTGGGTTTCTTTTTTTTTCTTTTTTTTTTGCAGTAGACTCTGGAATTTTGATTCTTGAAATTAGGTATGAACTAGTGTTGTATTTGTTTGAAATTTCAGGCACAATCACTTGTTGACTTGTTGATTTTATTTGCCAAAATTTGACTTTTAGAAATAAACAATAGCTTGGGTTTTTTGAGAATTAAGTAGAGTAATTATTTGGTTTTGAAAGTTGAAACACCAGTGTCAATATCTCATTAATTACGCACACTAAAGAAGTTGTAAGTCATAAAAAAGAATCATTTGCAATGGTAAAAAAAGATTTGACTTTAAATTGAAAAAAACTTTCTCCATCCCAGAACAAAAGGCTTGTAGTTTAACTTTGACACAAAGTTTAATACTCCTTCTGTCCCATTTTATAATGCCAGTTCGGTTTACAACGCTTGATTGAAATTATTTTCAAATCATTTTATATGACAAATGACATATAAATAAAAAATAAAAATTACATGTGAAAATATTACATCAAAAGATCTACAAAACTAGTGACAATAGTACTTTATTTTATCAAATTGCTAACGAAAATAGAGAAAGAAAGTGAATGAAGTTTGACCCTGTGAATAGTAAACATGCATTATAATTTGGGACGGAGGGAGTACTCCGTAATAGTTAAAATATGTGGTTGAAAGTGATGTATAAGAGAGAAAAATTGTGAATCACTCATAGCTCTTCATAAAAAGAAAGAAGCTTTTTTGGGACGTCCAAAAAGGGTAATAAGGAATCATTTTTTATGATGGAGGGTGTATCATCCCAAATCGTATCAAATTTGAGGTCTCGAAATAATTTTTATGATTTGATTCTATAGAGTTAAGTACTTTTTCTGTCTCAAAAAAAGACTCCTTTTCTTTTTTGGGCGTCTTAAAAAAAACATCCTCTTTTCTTTTATGGAAAAACTTTGACGGGCTCTCATTTTTCTCTCTTCTTTATCAATTTCGACCACACATTTTTACTTTTTTTAAATTTTGATTTAAGTCAAACTGTGATCCTTTTTTTAGGCGGAGGAAATAAGTGTTAAAAAGTAAGTTGAGTGGAGTAAAATTTAGAGAAAATTATCTAAAAAGTATACAAGTGGTGCTATATTCACTTTCATTTTAGCTGAACCCACCCCATTTACAATAAATAGTTAATTTGTCCTTAAAAATACAAGAAATTTAGATGCAATTCACCATTTAAGGACAAAATTGTCCATTTAATATAAGACTGGTGAAATTCTAACGTCATCTTTCTCTAGAAAATATTTTCTTCCTTTAGATCCTGATTAGTTGGGGAAGAGGTGTAGATTTTTCTGCAATTCCTTATTCCTTTTGATCACTTGTCTATTGCTCATTGTTCTTTTCTTCACTCATTTTAAATAAATCCCATCTCATCATATTCCTCTTGGTTGGTGGTGAATCTTTTTTATGGTGATGTTTCTCTCCACCTTTTGTGGGTGTTTTCTTTTTATTTGTTCGGTTATGGTTTAGTTGCCCTTCGTAGTGGCTTCGTGAAGTGCAGATCTAGTTATTGTTCTGTTGTCACTACTATGTCAAAGTCGGTCGATCTACATTTGAAATTGTGACTTCCTTAGTTCCTTATGCATTAACAATACATATAGTTGTAAATAGATTGTTGACATCACACTTCATCAGGGCCGTTCCCGAGAACTCAAAGGCCTGGGCCGAAACAAAAAAAGAGGCCTTAAAGATCTTATTCCTAATATCTTAACGAATTAAAGTATATAAACTAATCATATTTAAATAAACATTAACATAATACTATAATACTATGTAACAAAATAAATAAATCACATACAAAATTATAGCAAAAGGTTTATTTCTACTTACTTTTCCAAACCAATATCTTGAAAATTGGATCAGATATCGAATCAGGCGAGCTAGTAGGTCAAGATTCAACCAGTCAATTCGAGGGTCAATGGTTCGGTTAACTATAATTAAAAGAATAATATTTTATATTATAGTATTAGATATTATATTTTTGTTTTTTCACTCTTCCATTTAATATTCAATATCATTTTACATATGTCGTCATAGTTTTTCAATTTACTATTTGTATTAATTTTTATTACTATCAAATATAGTTAATGAGTATCTAATAAAACTAAAATAGTAAGACAATAGTCATATTCTAAAAAAAGTAAAGACTAGGTAATGTATTTTTATATAATATTCTGCAATGTGTATGTAGCAATTTACATTTAAATGTACGGAGTAGTTGATTGGAATGAGAAAAAGAAGAATAAAATAATTATTTAATATATTAAGGTATAATTACTAAATATTCTTAATTTTCATTGATGATAAAATTTTAGTTTTTTTTTGAAAAAAATATTTTTTAGGTATAAGGATTCATATTAATCTAAAATAAAACATAAATAATTTTTTTTATTTATTTTTAAAACTTGTTTTATAAGTTTACTAAACAAATATATTAGATACTACTTGTGTTTCTTTTTCTAGTTAATTGAAAGTTTAGTTATAATCAATACAATAAATATATATTGTATTGCGTGGGATGTTTAACAACATATTAGTAGCTCAAGTGGATGGAGCATCTCTTTACACCTTATCTGCCTAGGTTCGAACCTCATTCCACTCAATTTGAGTATTCTATTTTTAATATAAGAGGAGTACGAAATTTGTATATATATTATGCAAAATATTAAAAAATTGTGCCCCTTATAACGTTGGGCCCGGTCCGGTTGGCCTGCTCGGCCCACCCTTGGGCCGGCCCTGCACTTCATGATGAGTTTTCATTCTTAGGATATCCTCCTTAGAGTACTAGTATATGGATCATCGTTGTAGGAAGTTAGGAACTATTTTATGTGTTCCAGCCTTTAGTTTAACAAAGTTTGTGTTATGTTTTCTCTGTTACTTCAGTTCAATTTTTCTTATTCATTGTAAGTGCCCTTCAACATTGATATAAATTTATTTTACTTGTTACTCCGTATTAAAAAAACACACTCCGTGGCACAGTGACACGGGTGGATTTAACAAAAAAGGTGGAAGTTAGGAACACTCATGATATTAAAACAAAAACAAACTACTTTCATTCTGGTGTATTCGTCCAGTTTGATTTTTTTAGTCAAGTCATGAGAACCAAACTTTGAACCTCAATTAAAGTGAAAATTGTATTGCATATTACTATAAAAATAATTTTATTAAACTTATCCTACAGAGAAATTTTAAAATTTTATTTCATTGTATTAATATGTAGTAGAAAGTTCAATTGATGATCAAAATTTATCTTCTTTGATTCAAAAAACGAACACACTGAAGAGAGAATATTCAACTTCCTCATATAATACCATTTGTTTTAATTTCTCTAACTAGTATCAAATATATTAATACGGAGTATATATTAATTTGATTATACCAAAATGCCCTTTTTATTATTCTAACCCAAATCGCCACTGCTGCCAACAATCTCATCTGCTCCACTACTCTCCAACGTAGTTTTAATTAATGGCCACCATAGTTGCAATGTCTTCGTGGCCTTTAGTTCAAAGAATTTTGAAGAAAAAAGAAAAAGAAATAATTTCCTTTCGTTTTCCATGCCAAAATAGGAGGAATCTGGTTTTCTTTCACTTTAGTACTTTTTGCCTTCAAATTAGTTTTCCTTCCACTTTGTTTTTCTTTTTTCCTCTAACCATACATGAAAAATTATTTTCCTTTTTATTTTCATTCAAATTCCTTGAACCAAACGTAGTGTTAATGTCCACTGGTGAGACATTGTGGCAAATTCAATGTTCGTTGACGTACTTTTTATCAATAACTATTTCAGGACATTGACCATGTTGCTTATGTACTTGAATCTTAAATGTTATCGACTATTTTATGTACTTGAATTCACTTAAATTGGACGAGAATTTTAATAAGCATTGTTAATCAGTTCGAAGGTAGAGAGTGCACACTCATTTGAACTGGAGACAAATGTGAACTGGAGACAACTCTCCAGTGGTTCCATTCCTTCTTACTGTACACTTCCCCAATTATATACACAGTATACGTATATTCACACACACACCCACACAATAATAAATTCACAAGTGAAAGGTAGTACGTAGCCAGAGAGTATAAATTGATAACAATCTTACACGTTACGCTTTGAACTTTGGAAGCCTATCCCCAACCCTTTTCTGCATTATTTTTGGTTACTCTACATATACTCATGGATGTAAGAACCTGTGTGGGTTATTAAATAATATCATCATATAAGTATGTAATATCTATATAACTAAAAAAATTATGTACTTCTTTGGCGCTTTATTCCATATACTTTAGTCTTAATCTTTTAAAAATCGTATGAAAATAAACTTTTACTTAAACATACAATATACCATCCCACATGAAACTCTTTGGCTCTTCTACCTACATACTTTATGCTTTCACACGCCATTGACAATGTTCTGATCATGCAGATGAAAGCTAATCACTCTAACAATGTGGGACAAATTCGCAAGCATTCAGGGCATTGAAATCGAAAAGGCACTCGAATCAGGTACTTATCCAACAATACTCACAAAGAGGATACTGGCGACTTCCTTCCAAGGTAAACCCCACCTTTGTTATGCACACAAATACTCCTCTATCAAATTTAGTCTTTTTCCACTTCTTAGTTTTGGTTTGTTTTCAAGCTTACTGCATTTTTATATATACAGATTTGTTTATGGCACTTATAGTATCCTTTTTAAAATCTTAATGTACAACTGCTTCAATTAAATTCTCTCCGTTATCTACTCCCAAATGAGAACTGGGGGTTTGCTTGGGCTTCCTCCATCTGAGGAACTCCTGTTTTTTTGTTAAGATTTGAGTGATGTGTTTAAAAATCTGATTCTCTATTACATACACAAACATGACTGTCACTAACAACGCGTCACGATTCATCAATCGAACTGAACCCTACCATATCTCTTGCGACATCTCTAGAAGAGTGGTACGCATATTTATATATTCTTACAATTAATTACTTTTTAAAATTACTCCTATAACCAAATATATGCAATCCAGGAAATGTTCAAATGCTATCACAATACGGCATGCCTTGGAGAAAAAACAATTTGAAGATCCTTTATCTGTTTTTGAAGNAAATCTGATTCTCTATTACATACACAAACATGACTGTCACTAACAACGCGTCACGATTCATCAATCGAACTGAACCCTACCATATCTCTTGCGACATCTCTAGAAGAGTGGTACGCATATTTATATATTCTTACAATTAATTACTTTTTAAAATTACTCCTATAACCAAATATATGCAATCCAGGAAATGTTCAAATGCTATCACAATACGGCATGCCTTGGAGAAAAAACAATTTGAAGATCCTTTATCTGTTTTTGAAGATCCTTTAACTGTCTAATTCTGTTTTCTTTCAAAACATGACTATTCTGTAATCTTAGCTTTAATATTTTTTGATATACAAACACTTTCTCTCTGCAAATCAACTCAGATTCAGAGTGACAGCTGAAATATATGACGGCAGAGATGCGGTACACGTCACCCTCTTCACCAAGAAGCTCCAGAAAATATTAAAGACACTTGAGTGGAATACGCCGCTGGAGACAATCAATTCTGTAAATCTAAACAAGGCCCTTCAATCAGTCATTGTCATCGCTTCGATCAAACCAAGTTCAGGCACTTACGAAACAAATACATCAAACATGTACTCGCTACTAAGCCTCTACAGTCTCTCTCAGAAGCAAAGAAGCGCACCAACTCTAAAGAGAAAGCTCAAGGTTGAAGAGGACGTCCACAAAAAAAAGGCTTAGCTAATGTTTCCACAGCTTGAAAACTTTTTTGACTTTAATCTCTATTCCTACTGTTCTTGTAAAATATAACTATCCCAACATAGTAGGAAGCCTTATGTCAGTTTGGTGCATATTAGAAATGATGAAGTGCAAGTGATCACTTCTTTTTTTGTAAAACAATCCCTATGTTAGAACTCTTAAGTTAGCCAAAAATCATAAATAAAGTGTAGGTGTCATGCTAGTTTGTGTGAGTGCCCAAACTTGTTGTGTAAGTGCCCATACAAGTATTTGATATATCATACCCATATAATTTAATCGAAAAGATATAGGGAGTGGTTTACAAAAAATGAAGTAATCACCTACACTTCATTTATGATTTTTGGCTAACTTAAGAGTTCTAACATAGGGATTGTTTTACAAAAATTGAAGTGATCACTTGCACTTCATCATTTCTAATATGTACCAAACTGACATAAGGCTTCCTACTATATTGGGATAGTTATATTTTACAAGAACAGTAGGAATAGAGATTAAAGTCAAAAAAGTTTTCAAGCTGTGGAAACATTAGCTAAGCCTTTTTTTTTGGACGTCCTCTTCAACCTTGAGCTTTCTCTTTAGAGTTGGTGCGCTTCTTTGCTTCTGAGAGACTGTAGAGGCTTAGTAGCGAGTACATGTTTGATGTATTTGTTTCGTAAGTGCCTGAACTTGGTTTGATCGCAGCGATGACAGTGACTGATTGAAGGGCCTTCTTTAGATTTACAGAATTGATTGTCTCCAGCGGCGTATTCCACTCAAGTGTCTTTAATATTTTCTGGAGCTCCTAGGTGAAGAGGGTGACGTGTACCGCATCTCTTCCGTTTCAGCTGTCACTCTGAATCTGAGTTGATTTGCAGAGAGAAAGTGTTTGTATATCAAAACATATTAAAGATTACAGAATAGTCATGTTTTGAAAGAAAACGGAATTAGACAGTTAACCTCTTTGCCGTTGACGCCTCTTGGTCCCCACATTGCATGCATTTAAAGGTGATACCTTCTCTGAAGTGCACTTTCCGATTACAGGTGCTGCATCCTATGTGCAGTGTAATTGGTTCATTTTCTAGGAGTTGTAATTCACCTTCAGCCCAGTACTTGTGTTGCTGTGTAAAAGTGTGTGCATCATCATTTTCTGAGACAAATGTATGATATGAACTTAAAAGATGAGTATTGAAGAAATGTGTGTAGAACCTGATTTGTTGTGTTGATGAGGTCCGATATGCTTATTACTTACAAAAACAGATAAAGGTTCTTCAAATTGTTTTTTCTCCAAGGCATGCCGTATTGTGATAGCATTTGAACATTTCCTGGATTGCATATATTTGGTTATAGGAGTAATTTTAAAAAGTAATTAATTGTAAGAATATATAAATATGCGTACCACTCTTCTAGAGATGTCGCAAGAGATATGGTAGGGTTCAGTTCGATTGATGAATCGTGACGCGTTGTTAGTGACAGTCCTGTTTGTGTATGTAATAGAGAATCAGATTTTTAAACACATCACTCAAATCTTAAC